TTGCACGTACCTGGCAACAACAAGATCAGTACGGGAAACGGTAAGGTTAAGTTATCTATAAGGAGGCTATTGTGAACTAGAGAAACAGAAGAAACAAGAAATAAAAACGTTTAGAAAAAGTGTGACATTCAAAATATTCAGCTTTTGATTTGGAGATGTTTCTGAGTTTTTAATTCAGCTAAATTAGTTGCATTGCCTTTTCAGTTTAAAGTTGAAAGTTATGCTGTTTCAAAGTTGGGAACTTGACTGTCACTTGACTTCGTTCAGTTTTTAAATTCGTGCGCTAATGGCTTGCACATGGTCGGGTCCATTTGCATATTGCAAATAAATATTGTAATCGTTGTAGCGTCCTGATAGTTGTGTAGGTTTCTAGGTTGTATCATGGCTTATTTGTCATCGTAGTCATTTAAACAGTTCGTGATGTATCTTCTTCCAAATTTTTGGAAAGTTTAACGGCTGGTCGGGTCAGGAGTCCGCACTTGTCTGAATTTCACATGAGCGAACAATTCCGTCCGATCCTGCAAAAGTACATAGTACCGGTCCCAGGGGCCAAAGACCGCGAGGTGTCAAATCTTCTTGTTTGGATATTCCGAGTTGGCTGTGTCTACTTTGATCGAATAGCCCGTGTTCGCAGGTAGTCTTTGAGGTAGCGGTTCCAGAATTTCTGGGTCAGAACTTGAGATTTCAAGGAACCACCTACCAATCTAGCAAGTAGCGAACGGTTGGGTGGGCATGAAGGTCACTGTTAAAAGCTGCTGGTGAGTTACCAAAAGTGATTGACTGGTAAGCAGGGTAGCTGTTGACTGCTGTCCGGTTCAAACACTGGGGCTCAGAATTTGCTGATGAAGTTGGGTGTCCGTATGTTGGATGGTTGAATCCATATGAATGGTGTTGAGGCAAATTGTTGATCGAATGGGGCTGAAAGTTTGTCGTGACTTGGCTGAATTGCTGTTCTGTTGTCGAAGTGTTTATTGCAGAGGGATCATGTAGAGTAGACCCATAATCTGGTTGCGTTCCAAAAGTTATTGGTAGTTGAACTGTTCGTCTTAGCTGCTCATGGCATGCACACTACTCTCTTATTCAACTAATGATTGAAAACTGGTTTCGCTATCCACATGTGAATGGTTTGATTAATGATTTTTAGGACGAGCTCAGAAATCAGTGTTGTCAGCCGAAAAGCGTCAATGGTGTTTTGAAAATATCCCTCCCCCCTCGTGAAAATCCGGTCTACTCCCTGATCCAACTTCTATCTGCAAAAACAGTCGACTAAGTTGGATCTAGAGTTTCAATTGTGCGATATTTTATTTTACGCATCCTCCAAATCTGAATAGCCGCCATTAAACCACAAAATGATATTTAAATTATTAAATGTTGGGTAACTAAGATGTTGTGAATTATTGGTAAACTATAGTGAGTAATTTTGAAGATGTGAGAAAATGGCTTGTCAGCGATTTGCACATTTACTGCATTCTCGATTGGCGAGCTCAAGTGTGGATTATTTAACGAAGGTCCAAGTCCATAATACTGAGAAGACTGCGGTGTTAACACTGGGAAGAGCGGTAGCGAAGAATGCAATCAACAGGCAAATGGTGGAATCACTTGAGCGCTGCTTGAAAGAACTGGCAAAGAAAAGGTCCCTAACTTCGCTGATTGTTCGCAGTGAAGTGCCTGGAGTATTCTGTGCGGGAGCAGATTTGAAAGAAAGGGCAAACATGCCTGAATCAGAAATAAGCAGCCACCGGGGGAATAATTCAAAGTTTTATTAGCATATCTACCGCGGTCTTAACTTTTTTGCGCATCGTCCACATATAAGAAGGTGCATTTGGATCTTGATGTTTTTAAAACAATCTATAGTGATTTTTACGAAGCTCATCATACATTCCTGTGAAAATCAAGTTAATTCTACCTGAACCTACCAAAAGTCATTGGTTCATTTCATTCGACGGCTCTATTAAATAATTTACGAATAGGTCAAGCAGAATCTGGAATTCTTGTTAGATAGTGCAAGATCAGTTTTTCAAAAACAAGCTGCAATAGTAAAGGCAAGGTTGATTTATGAAAAACTCATAGGCTCTAGATAACAAGTCAGTTTTGTGTTTAAGGTAATTTTACTTTATTAAGGTAATGACAGCAAAGGTTGGAATGTTCTAGAAAAGGTATTTGAAATATTACTTTCGATGAATTCAAAATCCATATTGAGAAAAGCTAGGAAACTTATAAGTTATTAAAGGCAAAAACGTTGTTTGTTTGGAGAGCTGCTTCAAATTTTTCCAAAAACGCTACGGAAGCTTAAGCAGATCCTACTTGGCACTATGCAATGAAAAATACTACATTTTGTTGTGAATCAAGGATAAAGGCAGTAGATGGTTCTTGTTAAGTACGAATTCAATGTTGATTTCACTAAGTTTAATGCTGGATTTGTTGCTTATAGCTTAGTCAAGATCAGAGGAAAAAAAATGTATGATATTTTTATGCCAGAAGTGATGTTTATAACGCAAAATGAAGTGATGTTGAATCAAAAAGAAAGCAGGAAAGTAAATGTTAGCAGTTAAGTAAAGTAAATTAAGTGAGGAAGTAGTTAAACAAAGAAAAAAAAATAAGTAATCAAATAAATAAGTAAAACAGTAGGTTAGTAAATAATAAGTGAGCCAACAAGCAAGTATTAATTAAACAATTGAGCGCCTCAAATCAAGGCTATCGAAGCCCTGAAATTATTGTCAAGGTCATGAGTTATAAAGAGACCGAAATGTTGCTGATAGGTCTCAAAGTTCCCCATTTTTCACCTGACAAGGAGCGACATGAATTTATGAGGAAGTGGCTTGCAAATGACACAGCTTGAGACTGCCAGTTTTCCAAATAAAGCTGCATAACATTGTGCAGCTGAAGTTATTAAATGATATGCTTTTGGTTACTGCATTTTAATGAAAATACAGAAAGCGATTCCCAAAAAATTGTTGTTGGAGGTCCAGGGCAACATATAACAGACTTTGAACCCTTTTATAAACTTCGTTTTTCAATCCGGCAGCATTGTGCAAAATAACTTGCAATCGTAAAATCTTGAAGTTGTTCAAATACTTGTCTAAGGAGTTTTTAACACCAATCAAGCCACCATAAAGTCTCAATTCAATTAAAACGCCATAGCTTAAATGATTCCAAATAAAAAAAAAACATGCAGCAAGAAAATAGTTTCGTCGGTGAGAATTATCAGGACAAGGTTATTTTATGGACGTGTTAATTTTGTGAAATAATTTTACATTAAATTGCGTACCTCAGCTTTTCGCGATTTCATTTTTTCCAACACCTCTCCATTTTGCTAAATTTCAAGCCAGTGGAAATAAAAAATACCTAGGAGATACATTTAGCATCGTATAGATACCGTTAGTAAATAATCTAATAAACCACCAGAATTGCCTTTGTGAAAATGCACTAAGTGATTTGTCGAAGCTCACTCAAACAATACTCTTCTTTGATAATTAATTTGGTTTTCTTACTTTGAATTTTTCCCCTCTCGAGAAACACGACAAAGGGCTTCTCTCCGGTTTTGAGTTTTAATTTTTTTGGTTGAAAACACCAGATTGTAAATGTTAATTATCAGTATCTTCAGTACACAAATTCCCCTCCAATTTCGTTTTTTCTTATTTCAAAATTTGACAAATTGAGCATTTGCTGCAACTTGCCCAGAAACCGCCGCCGCCGACTTTGGAGAGTGATTTCATTTTCCTGCACCATAAAATATTGCACAAGTTGGGAAAATAGTTTACTGCTACCAAAAGGTAAGCTACGCTGCCAAAATCGACGAAGAATTTTCAATATTTGCCATAAATTTCCATTCCAATTTCACCAACAACAACTACGTCGAAAGTTCATGTGCCCGAAACAAATGTTACAATTTTATGATTCATATAGTTAACCAGGAAGAAAAATGAGGACACCAAAAATTAGAATGTATTGTGTCCATTGTTTTTTGAGCTAAGGTTCGGAAAATCTTAAGTAGGGGGTCTACTGCTATTTGGGTAGAAAGTTTCTTTCGTTTACAAAATCCTAGAATGAGGTTCTTTAAAAAATTAAGGAGCCTTTTCCTAGTATTTGCTTTACATGATGATGTATCCCGCTCAGGTTGGACCCCCATAGGTTGGACCCCCTTAGGATCCGGGACACGATACGTTATTACTATTTACAACAAAACTACTAATTTGTCAACATTGTTAATTCAACAATTTTGCCACCAAAAAGCTTGCGATACTGTCTGTATATCTTTGATACTTTGTCTACTGAAGCTGAGGGCGCTAATTTGAAAGCTCAATTTTAGGATGTTTACTCAAGAATTCTCAAAACGCTTTTCGAAAAATTGAGTGGTAGGTTTCGGATAAATAAATGACTTCTCGCTTTAGAGAAGTCACCTACCACTTTCTGGTCCAAACTAAGAACATGACTTGCAAATTTCACTCGGTGTCATATCATCAGATTAGGCCACAATACGCAGTTTACTTTCATAAGTATAAAAGATGGTTTACTACTACTTGTCCCCGTCTTTATGCACGTACCTGGCAACAACACCAAGATCAGTAGGGGAAACGGTAAGGTTAAGTTATCTAAAAGGAGGTGATTGTGAATTAACTAGAGAAACAGAAGAAACAAGAAATAAAAACGTTTAGAAAAAGGGTGACATTTAAAATATTTAGCTTTTGATTTGGAGATGTTTCTGAGTTTTCAATTCAGCTAAATTAGTTGCATTGCCTTTTCAGTTTAAAGTTGAAAGTTATGCTGTTTCAAATTTATGGACTTGACTTTCAATTGACTTTGTTCAGTTTTTAAATTCGTGCGCTAATAGCTTGCACATGGCCGGGTCCATTTGCATGTTGCAAATAAATATTGTAATCGTTGTAGCGTCCTGATAGTTGTGTCGGTTTCTAGGTTGTATCATGGCTTATTTGTCATCAGTTCGTGATGTATCTTCTTCCAAATTTTTGGAAAGTTTAACGGCTGTTCGGGTCAGGAGTCCGCACTTGTCTGAATTTCACATGAGCGAACAATTCCGTCCGATCCTGCAAAAGTACATAGTACCGGTCCCAGGGGCCAAAGACCGCGAGGTGTCAAATCTTCTTGTTTGGATATTCCGAGTTGGCTGTGTCTACTTTGATCGAATAGCCCGTGTTCGCAGGTAGTCTTTGAGGTAGCGGTTCCAGAATTTCTGGGTCAGAACTTGAGATTTCAAGGAACCACCTACCAAACTAGCAAGTAGCGAACGGTTGGGTGGCCATGAAGGTCACTGTTAAAAGCTGCTGGTGAGTTACCAAAAGTGATTGACTGGTAAGCAGGGTAGCTGTTGACTGCTGTCCGGTTCAAACACTGGGGCTCAGAATTTGCTGATGAAGTTGGGTGTCCGTATGTTGGATGGTTGAATCCATATGAATGGTGTTGAGGCAAATTGTTGATCGAATGGGGCTGAAAGTTTGTCGTGACTTGGCTGAATTGCTGTTCTGTTGTCGAAGTGTTTATTGCAGAGGGATCATGTAGAGTAGACCCATAATCTGGTTGCGGTCCAAAAGTTATTGGTAGTTGAACTGTTGTCTTAGCTGCTCATGGCATGCACACTACTCTCTTATTCAACTAATGATTGAAAACTGGTTTCGCTATCCACATGTGAATGGTTTGATTAATGATTTTTAGGACGAGCTCAGAAATCAGTGTTGTCATCCGAAAAGCGTCAATGGGTTTTTTGAAAATACCCCTCCCCCTCGTGAAAATCCTGTATAATCCCTGATCCAACTTCTATCTGCAAAATAAGTCGACTAAATTGGATCTAGAGTTTCAATTGTGCGATATTTTATTTTACGCATCCTCCAAATCTGAATAGCCGCCATTAAACCACAAAATGATATTTAAAATATTACATGTTGGGTAACTAAGATGTTGTGAATTATTACTAAACTATAGTGAGAAATTTTGAAGATGTGAGAAAATGGCATGTCAGCGATATGCACATTTACTGCATTCTCGATTGGCGAGCTCAAGTGTGGATTATTTAACGAAGGTCCAAGTCCATAATAATGACAAGACTGCGGTGTTAACACTGGGAAGAGCGGTAGCGAAGAATGCAATCAACAGGCAAATGGTGGAATCACTTGAGCGCTGCTTGAAAGAACTGGCAAAGAAAAGGTCCCTAACTTCGCTGATTGTTCGCAGTGAAGTGCCTGGAGTATTCTGTGCGGGAGCAGACTTGAAAGAAAGGGCAAACATGCCTGAATCTGAAGTAAGCAGTCACCGGGGGAGTAATTTAAACTTTTATTAGCATATCTACCGCGGTCTTAACTTTTTTGCGCATCGTCCACATATAAGAAGGTGCATTTGGATCTTGATGTTTTAAAAACAATCTATAGTGATTTTTACGAAGCTCATCATACATTCCTGTGAAAATCAAGTTAATTCCACCTGAACCTACCAAAAGTCATTGGCTCATTTCATTCGACGGCCCTATTAAATAAATTACGAATAGGTCAAGCAGAATCTGGAAACCTTGTTAGATAGTGCAAGATCAGTTTTTCAAGTTACAAAGAATGTTTTCGTTGCAATCTTAATCTATGCTTGTGTCTATACTTGTGTATCTATCTCGGACTTGTGTGAGGAAACCTTTTCGACCCTCCTCTTTGTTAAAAATTGATCAAAAAAGACTTTTGTGCACAAAAAATTTATACTTAATGTTGAAATATAGCCGATCGTTCATGGAGAAAAAAGGCAAAACAGGCAAAAAAGGACAACAAAATTGACGTACTTTAGGGATCATAACGAGTTATCGAACTTAATGTTGACCCTAATTTTGATAATCAATAGAGTTTATTTATTACACTTGCCAGAGTAAGTGATTTGTAACCAGGAAGTAGACTTTTTCCAGTAAACAACTTTTCATACAAATCTTACATACTTTTATTCCTTGCTTTATTCAACCTTGACAACATCTAGGCTAGCGTCCACTTGGCTTAAAGGTAACGTGGTGCCCTTGTTTTTTTCAGCGTGTATGGAACTGGATTTTTTCGTATAAGATGAATTGTCGGACTAAATCTATATTTAAGTCTATCTTAGTGTCATTCAATCAAATGAATCTTGAACTTTTAAGCAAATCACCTGCTAGATTAACTGATATCTCAAAAACCTCCATCAATCAAAAAATTTAAATGAGCATTATATAAGCGTTTTCGATAGTCATTCGTTTTCTGATCCTTGTCCATTTCTTTTCAAAATCAAAACAAACAACTGAAAATAAAGAGAATTTTTTTTCGAGATCTGTAGTTTCTCAAAAAAAAACTGAAGTCATGGAATTTCGAAATCTTCTGAAAATTATGTTAGAATAATCAGATATCCTCAGTGAGTCGTGTGCTAATACTGCTTTTAAATTATTCTTTGACAATTTCTGTGCAGTTCTGGAACACTTCGCTCCCATCAGAAAAATCTCGAAAAATGCCACTTCTTCTGCTTGCTGGTTCAATAAGCGAATAAAAAAGCAATTAGCAAGAGAAACAAGCTTTACACAGAATGTAAAAATGATAGAAGTAATGTTAAAAAATATCAACTTTCTTGAGTGAAAGAAAAAAGGTCTGATAAAAAAATGCGTTTGATAAAAAAGAGTTTGATAAAAAAAGGAGTTCGGTAGAAAAATTGATGAAGGTCTATTGCCTTAATAAATTTAAGCAAGGTATCGGAGACTAGAGGTAGACTTTTGTATTTTGAAATGAACCAAAAAATCATTTTTCTTTTGATCAATATTCTGGAGATAAGGGAAGATATATACATTGAAAAAGGCTTCCAAGAATTTTTCAAATCAATAATATCCAGACTAGTAATTGGGGATGAACTAGTAATTGGGGATAAACCAGTAATTGATCTTAGAATATTTAAATCTATAACAACTAGTTTAATTGAAAACAAGATCATCAAGACCTTTCTTGGAACTTCAACCTTTTGAAATACCTTAAATTTATCTACTTTCTCTAAACATCAAGGCTTCTCCTTGGTTTTAAATCTAAAGTCCGAAAGTTAATTAATTAAACTAGATCATCAGGGCTTTTTCTTAGATCTTTAACCATTAATTTTAATTCTTTAACTAAAAATTGTTTCCTCAAAATGTCGATTCACTCTCCAACCTCTCTAAACAACCCGGGACTAACCGACAATTTTTCTCAAAAACTTACCTTTTAAATTAAGCTCAACAATGAACAAATTCGGTTATTCATCCTTCACTTGAACCCCAACTTTTATTTGACCCTGGCCTATAACAACTCTTAGAACTAGAAAGCTCTAAAATAGTATCTAACGTTCTCTTTGTGTTCTAGTTATACCTGAACCTTGTAGATTGATATACTATTCTCAAACCCTCGATCTCATAACAATCCCCATTCAAGTGAGTTTAAGAATACGTAACTGCAGAAAACGCCACTTACGTCTGAGAGCAGTAAAACATCGTTGTTTCGAATTCATGTACTCTCTCCCCAACTTGTCTTGACACGACAAAACGACACGAGTAATAAGGCAACGTTCACAAAAGTAGTATGCACTAACAGTTAAGGAAGCAGACATTTAACACTGGATTTTGCATCAATCATTAAAATATCTGTGTCAAAAGCTAGTCTAGCAAACAGTATTTCTATCAAATTGTTTAGTTCAAGACTCCCGATAGGATCTTGTCTTAGACCCAAATGAACAAAAAGTCCTAAACCCAAATAAACAAAAAGATACCTCTTATTTTCAACCAGCAAATTCTGAAACGTCGTTTTTCTAGAATGCGAAATGCATTTTCTTAATCTGATACAACCAAACGCAATCTCGAAAACCTGCTAGACCAAATAAACCATCAGTCAACGAAAGACATTTTTCAGATTCAGAAGCAAAAACAACATCATCAATAAGGAGTAAACGCAGAATGAAAAATAATTATAACAAAAAAACCAGTATGAACATACACTTGGAATCAACCTATAAGGCATATTCAAAGTTACATACTAACAGTGATACAACAAAAAATGGTTAATAAGACGTTAGTTTTCTTGTTGATTGTAACGTGCCGTTTGTAAAACATGCCGACAGTGAACCCTCACGGGAACAAGTACTCTCATAATCGCATCATAGTTTTATTTCGAAAAGACAGCCTTTGTCAACAAAAGTTTCCGGAAGTTAAAACAAAAAGGCAAATACTAGATCATTACATACCGATTTTTTGCAACATAACCTCACAATATTGTAGATTCATAATTGAAACTCTACCACCAGATTTAGAGAACCAAAACTCATCACATTAGAAATAAATTGATCTAGAATTAAGCTTTTCAAAAGCTGTCGTTGAGTATGTCAAAAATAGAAAACATCTAAATTAAACACGGTCAAATTGTTCTTACCTACAAATGATGTTTTATCAATTTTCTACAGTTCTGTTTTCATCGAAAGTTAATTAATTAAACTAGATCATCAGGGCTTTTTCTTAGATCTTTAACCATTAATTTTAATTCTTTAACTAAAAATTGTTTCCTCAAAATGTCGATTCACTCTCCAACCTCTCTAAACAAACCGGGACTAGCCGACAATTTTTCTCAAAAACTTACCTTTTAAATTAAGCTCAACAATGAACAAATTCGGTTATTCATCCTTCACTTGAACCCCAACTTTTATTTGACCCTGGCCTATAACAACTCTTAGAACTAGTAAGCTCTAAAATAGTATCTAACGTTCTCTTTGTGTTCTAGTTATACCTGAACCTTGTAGATTGATATACTATTCTCCAACCCTCGATCTCATAACAATCCCCATTTAAGTGAGTTTAAGAATACGTAACTGCAGAAAACGCCACTTACGTCTGAGAGCAGTAAAACATCGTTGTTTCGAATTCATGTACTCTCTCCCCAACTTGTCTTGACACGACAAAACGACACGAGTAATAAGGCAACGTTCACAAAAGTAGTATGCACTAACAGTTTAGGAAACAGACATTTAACACCTGGATTTTGCATCAATCATTAAAATATCTATGTCAAAAGCTAGTCTAGCAAACAGTATTTCTATCAAATTGTCTAGTTCAAGACTCCCGATAGGATCTTGTCTTAGACCCAAATGAACAAAAAGTCCTAAACCCAAATAAACAAAAAGATACCTCTTATTTTCAACCAGCAAATTCTGAAACGTCGTTTTTCTAGAATGCGAAATGCATTTTCTTTATCTGATACAACCAAACGCAATCTCGAAAACCTGCTAGACCAAATAAACCATCAGTCAACGAAAGACATTTTTCAGATTCAGAAGCAAAAACAACATCATCAATAAGGAGTAAACGCAGAATGAAAAATAATTATAACAAAAAAACCAGTATGAACATACACTTGGAATCAACCTATAAGGCATATTCAAAGTTACATACTAACAGTGATACAACAAAAAATGGTTAATAAGACGATAGTTTTCTTGTTGATTGTAACGTGCCGTTTGTAAAACATGCCGACAGTGAACCATCACGGGAACAAGTACTCTCATAATCGCATCATAGTTTTATTTCGAAAAGACAGCCTTTGTCAACAAAAGTTTCCGGAAGTTAAAACAAAAAGGCAAATACTAGATCATTACATACCGATTTTTTGCAACGTAACCTCACAATTTTGTAGATTCATAATTGAAACTCTACCACCAGATTTAGAGAACCAAAACTCATCACATTAGAAATAAATTGATCTAGAATTAAGCTTTTCAAAAGCTGTCGTTGAGTATGTCAAAAATAGAAAACATCAAAATTAAACACGGTCAAATTGTTTTAACTTACAAATGATGTTTTATCAGTTTTCTACAGTTCTGTTTTCATCTTAGATACAGACGGAACCTCTTTTTTGTATGACCACCACAGACGTCACGACATTTTGCATAAAAAAGGGAAAATATCTATCAGTTAGCTTCCATGACCAAAGGATAACAAACATAGATCATTCTTTGAATCACCCTTTTTCCAACAAAATAAACCATATGACCTATTCAATGGACAAAATAATAAAAAGAGTCAAAATCACTTCTCAGAAATCAGCAGCAACAACATTATTTTAATCCAAAGAAATATCAATAGAATCGTGATAACAATTTAGATGACAATTTTCAACAAGGTATTTTTGAACCAAACCTAGACCCACCAAAAACAAAATCACAAAGTGCTAAAACTCCAACAAGACCTTAGTTTACACCAGCAACTCATAACATACAAACACAGGATTCAACCAATACTCAAGGCTA